AGATTTACAGCAAAGTGGGCCAATCTCATATGAACTTTCCGATGAATTTTCACAAAGCAGGTACACCTGTGTAGCTGCCACCCACACCAAGGTACAGTGCATTCCCAGCACCCCAGAGCCCTGCTTCGTGCCCGCTGTCGTCCTTACCCCCCTCCCCCTCGGTAATCTCTATCCGACTTCTGTCTTTGAACTTTATATAATGGAATCATTCAGTATATGTTCTGTTGTGTCTGGCATCTCGTACCCAGCATTATGTTTGCGAGAGTCGTCTGTTATTTTGTGTAATTGTAGTTCATTTGTGCTCACTGTTGTATAATATTTCATTGTATTATTTTATCACAGTTTACATATCCATTCTGCTATTGATGGACATTTGAGTTTCTAATTTGGAGGCTATTCTGAGTAGTGCTGCTGTTAGCATCTTGTACATGTCTTTATCTTCTTTCATTTTAGCCATTGTGGTAGGAGTATACTACTCTCTGGTGTTTTTTGCATTTGCCCTATTATAATATTTAATGGCTAAATGGATACCCCCTTTTGTGAAATGTCAAAGATTTTGCCCATTTTTCTGTTGGATTCGCTCTCTTTTTTTTTAATAGGCTGGTAGCAGTTTGTAATTTTAGATTTGAGTGTTTTGCCAAATATGTCTATTGCAAGTATCTTTTCTCATTCTGTGGCTTGCCTTTTCATTTTCTTCATGTTGTCTTTTGGTGAATGGAAGTACTCAGGTTTAATGTAGTCTTACTTATCATTTGTTCCCTGTATGCTTATTGCTTCCTTTGCTGTTTAAGAACTGTTTGCCCACCCCAGGGTCATGAAGATAGATGGTTTCCTGTCTTGTCTTATAAAAGTTTTTATTGGTTCACTTTTCACATTTAGATCTGCAATTCATCTGAAATTAATTTTTGTGTAAGGTATGAGGGTAGAGATCAAGATTTCTTTTTATCCATGTGGTAACCCATTGGCCCGGTATCGTTTGTTGAAAAGACTTCCTTTCCCAACTTCATTGCAATATCATCTTTGTCATAATCTAATGACCTGTGCACGTTGGAGTCTGTTCTTGGATATTCCGTTCTATTCTGTTGGCTTAGTTGTCTACCTTTGTAGAAAATACTATACTTTTTTCGAAGTGAAAGCTTTCAATAATTCGTCATGTAAAATGATTTTTCTGAGACTATGTGTAGATAATAACTATCAGATTAAAGAAGTTTCGTGCTCATTCTAGTTTGCTAAGACTTTTATTATGCATGGATATTGAATTTTCTCAAACATTTTTACTGTTTACTTAACTCTTAAATTGATTACACAGTTGTTCTCTTTTATTCTCTTAGTGTGCTGAATTATACATTGATTAACTTTTGAATGTTAAGCCACCTTGGATTCTTGGAATAAAACAGACTTCATTGTGATGTATTTTATATGTGTTTTTATATATGTTGCTGGATTTGATTTCTTGACTTTGTGTTTGGGTTGATTTTCATTTATGTTCATGATAGAGATTAGTCTTTAATTTTCCTTTTTTGTGATGTCGTTTTTGACCTCAAGATTTACGAGGCTTCATAAGGTAAATTAGAAAGTATTCCTTGTTTAGTTCCTGCAGAAGGTTTTGTAAGGTGGGCATCATATCTTCCTTAAATAGTTGGGAGAATTCCCAGGAGAATTCACCAGCCCAGCCTGTGATTTTCTTTGTGAGAATCAGCCTTCCACAACCAAGGCTCTGCAAGAGGTAAACATTTACTGAAACATGTTTTGGTGACTATTTTCTTATTTCTCCCAAGGATAGCACATAACTCACACCGTTCTAGATGTTATGTTTTGTTTTGCTTTAACATAATGGATGCTGGAGGGCACTGGGGCTTAATTCTCATAGAATCCCAGTTGAAAGGGGCTGGTGGGCTATTTTTTATTATCAATTCCATTTCTTTATTAGATACAGGACTATTCCAGGGGCGCCTGGGTGACCCAGTCAGTTAAACGTCCAGCTTCGGCTCAGGTCATGATCTCGTGGTTCGTGATTTTGAGCCCCACGTTGGGCTCGGTGCTGACAATTCGGAGACTGTTTGGGATTCTCTCTCTCTCTCTCTCTCTCTCTCTCTCTCTCTGTCTGTCTCTGCTGCGGCTGCTCCCTGACTCACACTTTCTCTCTCTGTCAAAATAAATAAATAAACTAAAAAAAAAAAAAAAAAAAGATACAGGACTATTCCAGCTTTCTGTATTGCATTTATTTTAGTAAGTAGCATTTTCTACAAGATTTGTTTATTTTACCTAAATTATCATAATTTTAGCAAAGTTATCCAAGATACCCTCTTATTTTTCATATATACAAGGACTTTCCTGTATTTCTGTTTTGTTTCTCACATTGGTAAATTTGTACCATTTCTTCTTTTTTTTCTCACTCTTGCTAAGGCCTTGTCAATGTTTTCTTTTAGTCAAAGAAACATCTTTGAATGTTGGCCTTGTTGATTTTTTTTCTCTATTTATATATGTGTTTTCTATTTTATTAATTCTGCTCTTTTCTTTATTATGTCCTTCTACTTCAATTAGGTTTAATTTGTTGTACTTTTTTTTTTTTTACTTCTTGAGATAGATAATTGTTCAGAAACCTTCCTTTCCAATTTATGTATTTAGGGCTTAAAAATTCTTCTTGCCTGCTTTTCACAAGTTTGATAATATGATATAATCAAAATATCATTGAATTTAAAATAGTTGTTAATTTTCATTATAATTTCTTTTTTATCTATGTGGTTTTTTTAGAAATGTATTTACTTAATTCCTAAACAGCGGGGCTTTCTAATTTTCTTTTTATTGTTGATTTCTAGCTGTACTTCACTGTTTTCAGAGAACAGACTATTCACTACTCAGTCATATAGAATATTGGAATTTGCTTTATGGTGTAGTATGTGGTCAGTTTTGGTAAACTTTTTGTGTGTTATTAAGAGAATGTATTCTACAGGTCACGTTTGTTAATTTTTGTCTTTCAAATCTTCTGTAGTTACTGATTTTTCAATTTGCTTATTTTACCAGTTATTGAGAGATTTGTTAAAATCCTCCAATTTAGGATTATAGATGGCTGTTTCTCCTTTTAGTTTGTTAGCCTTTGCTTTCTGACGTCTGTGTTTTTATTCATGGATGAATCTTTCTGTTCAGCTGGCCCTTTTGTTGTTAGAAAATATCCCTCTTTATCTGTATTAATACCCCTTGTTTTAAAATCTGTTTTGTCTAGTATCCATAAAGCTGTATCTATACTTTTTTGGTTACTGTTTTCATGGTTTATCTTTTTCTATCCTTTTACTTTCAGTCTTTTTTAATTCTTACATTTAAAGTGTTTCACTTGTTAGCAGGATATAGTTGGCTTGGGTTTATTATCCAGTCTTAAAATCCTTACCTTTTAACTGAAATATTTAGTTCTTTTACATTTAATCTTATTAGTGATATATTTGGGTTTGAACATACTGTCTTACTCTTTGATTTTTTTTTAGGACAGGAAAATTTCATTTTCCCTTCTGTTAGAAGTAATACAGTCTTTTATTTTTTGCTATGTCCCTAGTGATTATAGCATACATTCTTGTCTTATTAGAAGTACCTTAAATTAATGCTTTTACCTTTTTCCCAGACAGTACAAGAATTTCAAAAGACTTTAACACCATTTATTCCCTTTTCTCCTTCTGCGAAATTATTGGTCTTGTGTTTTAGTTCTGTAACATCCCACAAGATGTTATTGTCCCATTGACATCAGTATTCGTTTAGATTTCGCCACATCTTTACCCTTCCTGGTGAATTTCATGTCTCTCTGCATTAGCGCATTTCCATTTGGGTCATTTTCCTTCTGCTTGAAGAACTCCCTTTAGGATTTCTTTTAGTGCATATGTATCAGTGTCTTTATTTCCACTTGAAAAGGATTTCTTTCCTGCCTATTCAGAATTCTAGGTGGGAAGTTAATTCTCTGGACACATTACAGATACCATTTTGTTGTCATCTGGCTTCCACTGATTCTACTGAGCTGCTGGAGAATAGTTGATGCTTAAAAAGTAATGCATCTTTTTTTTTCACTGTTTATAAGATTTTCTCTCTTCTTTGGATTTTCACCAATTCCACTCTGACATGCTGGTGTGGATTTGTGTTTACACTAGTGAGATTCTCCATCATTTCATCAGTTTTCTTGAACACATTAATTGTAAAAACTTAAATTCCTTCTCTAAATAATGGTAGTGTATGGACCACCTGTCGATTGCCTCTTTTATCTTATCTGTTGTTGTTCTTGGTTTCCAACGGATGCTGGATATTATGTGTGAACGACTGTAGAGGCTCTGGCTGATATTTTCCTCCGGAGAGGGTTTTGTATTCTTCCAGAAGACAGATTACAGTATGGGCTGATCACCGGAGTCACTTGGCAGACCTGAATTCCAATTTTTCTCTCCCTAGGACCGTGAAGAAACTGAAGTATCTGCCTACTGTTTTAGCCTCCCTGCAGCTGGGTTTTGCCTAGTTTCCCACCTCTTGCTGTCAGGTCTGCAGCTGAGGAATGGGGAATACCGCAACAAGACCGTGGTGCAGAGCGCTGGACTCCCCTTCCCCTTCAGTGTGCGGACCGCACTGGGTGCCTTCCACTCCATTCCCCCCTTCACGTCCTGTCGGTCGCGCCTGTGTTCTGGGCAGCCACAGTTCCAGCCTGTGCACCTCAGCCGCTAGAACGGACACACGCCCCCAAGGGGAGGGAGTGGCAGTGATGTCGCTTCACCTCCCTGTGTGTCTCCTCTCCCTGGGACCTTGGCCTCTGGTCCTGATCGCCTGCGTTGCCCTTCGTGGCTGTAAAACCACAGGAGGTTTGTTTGTCGCCTTCTGTTTTATTTCAGTCGCTCTCCTGTGTGTTCTTAGCGGGAGCACGGGGTCGGGTGCCACCTTCTTGTTCACAGCTGGCGTCAGTCCCCAGCTGATGAGTGTTTAAATCTGCTCTCACAACATGTGACGCTAATTGCCGCCCGGATGCCTCTGTTGTCCAGGACGCTGTGTCAGCCCTCTTGGCACGAACGTCAGCCGAGCTGTTGGCGGTGGAGCAGGAGCTGGCGCAGGAGGAGGAGGAGGAGGAGGAGCCAGGACAGGAAGACGAGCAAAGGGGCCCAGATGGAGACTGGTAAAAACGCTGCTTTCTCTTGCTCTTCGGGAATGCAAAGAGGGGGTGTGTGTTGCAGGGAAACCCTTATGGGTTCAGATCCTCCTGGAATTCTGCAGAGCAGTGTCGTGGCAGGGAGCTGCCTCTAAAGGAAAGACCCTCTTTGGTCGTTTGAGCCTTGAAGGTAACAGTGAAATTGAGAGCCAGTTAGAGTTAACACAGGAAGGGCTTTCTCTGTCCTGCCTCCATGGGTTCTGACTCCCTCTCTTGGGCTTTTTAAAGTTCTCCGTCTCAGCTGCTGGTTTTGAGGGGCACCCGGGTGGCTTAGTCAGTTGAGCCTGTGACTGGATCTCGGCTCAGGTCCTGCTCTCAAGGTCCTTCTATTGAGCCCTGCATCAGGCTCTGCGCTGAGCCTGGAGCCTGCTTGGGATTCTCTCTCTTTCCCTCTGCCCCTCTCCTGCTCTCTGTCTTTCTCTCTCTCTCTAAGATCATCATCATTGTCATCATCATCATCTACCTGTTTTCAAAGGTGTGGTAGTTCATTGTCAATGCATGAATAACTTTAAAAACTTTCTTTTTTTTTTTTAAATCACCAGAAATACCTCTGTATCTTTTAGGTTCAGATAAGTCAAAGCACGCATCTGGAAAACAGGTTCTGAGTGCTCACTTTCTATTTGTTACCACTTCCACCTTCTTCTCCTGTTTCCACCTAATTATCCATTCCCCCCTCCTTTGGGGGGAAAAAAAGTTATTATAGCTATGTATAAAGAACCGCCTTTCCTGGTTTCACTGTTTTCCCTGAAAACAAATTTGCATCAGTTTTCAAAGTATAGATGTAAAGTTATTTGGACTAATTTTAATGTATATATAGTTGCTTATACCATTAACACATATGCATATACATATATAGCACGCAGTTTTGTGCATCTGTATAAAACTTGTTACAAACTAAGACTGACAAGATATGTCATAAGTAACAAAATCTTGCACATGTGGAAGGACAGCTTACTCCAGTGACACAAAAAGGTACAGACATACTTTGTTCTTACCAGAGGCCCTGTTTTACAGTGATTACAATCAGCGCACTGCAAAAAAAAATAAATATGAGAGTGATTATAAGGTCCATCATATTTTTCAATACTAAACCTTTATGTATGTAAAACACAATTTGTTTCATATACATTTCCAAGAATACACTCTGTGTGCAGCATAAAGGAATTCAGAGCTCGCAGAGTCCACTGCTAGCTTCCCTGTGCTCATCTCATAACTAGCTGGCTAGTAAGGGGTGCGTGTCCATCCGTCAGAGCATTACCCATCACAGCTACAGCCCGCCTTTCAGTTACCAGTGGCAAAAACATTACTGCTCTAAGGACATGAAACTCAACAGGGCATGAGATACTCTAAGGCTCACTGGCACCCTCACTTTCCTGCCCGTGTGTTTTATATGGAACGTAAACCCGTATGTGCATTCTGGAGCCCGCTTGCCCCCTGAGCCCCTGTGGTGGCTTTCATTAGAGACAAGGTCACATGACCTTAGGATTCTTGTTATTTCAGGAGTAAAGCTCCCTTCACACAGGGTTTTACCCCTGCTAGACTGTAAGCACAGTTGTTTTTTTATAAAGATTTTCTTTTTAAGCAACCTCTACACCCAAGGTGGGGCTCAAACTTACAACCCCAAGATAAGGAGTTGCATGATGCCCCAATGGTGGATATTTTCAATACTTCTGTCCTTGTTCATTTTTAGCAGAGCCACTCCGTTCTGTTGTAGGATTAACTTTATAACAAGTAAACAACTGATATCAAGTTATATTATAGTGTCAGTGCTTTTAAATGGTGGGGTTAAATGTTATACGTGATTTTCAGAAAATTTGTATTTTAATATCTAGGAATGAGGTCAAATTCCATTAATTTAACTTTTCCCTACCAAATTATGGTGCTTTGGCCGCATATTGCTGGAGGGTCAGATGCTGATTTTATTTTGCATGTAGCAGTTCGAGCCACGAAATGGCTTGAATCGTTGCGTGAGTCTCATTCCTTGTGGGGGTAGCGGGGTCTGCCCCAGGAGGCCCTGCTCACGAGCGCACCTGCCAGACCTAAGGGGCGTCTGGTTTTGCTCCATCTCACCGTAGGCTGACAATGCTGCGAGAGGCCTCTGATGAAATCGCGTCTGAAGAAGAGGCCAACATGAAGTTGCCCAAGGGGGGTCGTCGTGCAGGAGACCTGTGCTCGCGCCTCAGTGCGCCCGATGTGGAGGAGGACGTGGGCAGGAGACAGGACGGCGGCGCTGAAGAGCGTGGGCGCCGCCCGCCCGGTGGGCCGTCCACCCTGGTAGGTACTTGCAGCCACGCTCCCCCCAGGTTGAGGTCCAGTGGTGGCACGCAGACCACGTGTGTCTCCTTGCGTGTGACTCCGTCCCAGGGTTTGTGCCGGAGCTGCTCACGGCAGGCGCTTGTGGAAGGAGGCTTTCAGATGTTTGCATGGGCCCCGTCTTCGTTCTTGACTTAAATTTTGTGTAAGAAGGTGAATAGTGCTGTGTAGATCTCTGTACACGCCCCGGGAGTATTTATAAAAAGCATTTCCAGAATTTCCTGGATGCCGCCAGGATAGCTACTTCATCGTGTTACGTTTTGTAAGTGTTGTGAGTTTACTTCCACGAAGTAGACAGTTAAAGTGCATCTCGGTGATGTGGTGCGCTGGCCGGAGCCCGCTCTGGAACGTGGCAGGTGGCTCGGTGGACGGGTGGTGCCGGCCAAGTCAGTCAGCAGCACTTCGCCAGTTAAAGGAGATGCATGTTGGTGGAGAGCGCGTCCCCAGAGGGAGGAAATCATTTGCAGGCTTGGAGGGTGCTTGGGATGTTGATGATGGAGTCTAGAAAATTCCAATCCTTTATTTCTGAGGAAAGTAATACTGTGCCCTGACGCAAGGCTTCCTTCAGTAAAGGAGCAGACCAGCACGAGGCAGGTTTCAAGCCCTTTTATGCACCTGAGATCGACAGTAAACATCTGCCGGTGCCTATAGAGTTAGTGCTCTGAGAAACTTCTGTTGTTACTTAAATTTTATTTTTTGTTACACTTCCAGAGATACAGTAAAAACCCAAACTCAGCCTCACAGCAGTTGCTATTGCCATATATGTGTAATTGCATACTCTGTGTAAGCCTACAGCCTTGTGGTACGTTTTCATTTTCTTATATGTAGTTACTTGTACCGTTATTCTGAAGAAACCAAACAAAACCACGAGTCCGAATGTTGAACCGTGTTTGTGTCGAAGTGTCCCTAAACAAGGTCCTTCACAGAACCACATTTACCCTGTGTAAGTCAGAGGCTTCCGTGTGTAGGTCAAAGGTGCTGGGGGGCACCTCCATTTGTGGGTGACACTGTCCTGCCCTCCGCGGGTCACTTCTCAGCAGAAAGCCACCTCCCCGGGTTCCCGCAGGGAGTAACGCCACGCGCTTCTCTCAGAAGCGGCCCAGGCGCAGAATGAGGCTCTGCGGGGAGATCGGCTGTTGCCTTTGGAGGTGGAAGAAAGGAGCAGAAATGTATCCACATCCGTCCGCGCCTGATGGGTCCTGACTTCCGTTCTAGGTCGATAAAGAGACCAACACCGAGGAGGCTGGTGACGCCAGGGTGGCAGTTCGCCCCAAGGACCGCGGCGGCCTGAGCACCCAGCAGCGCCCCTTCGTGCGGAGCAGCGTGATCGTGCGCTCACAGACCTTCTCCCCGGGGGAGCGGAGCCAGTACATCTGCAGGGTAAGCGGGACGCAGCCCTGCACCCCTGCCCCCTGCCGGCCAGTGGCCCGCCGACCACCAGGGACGCCCCCGCCTGCCGCAAACACGAATGGGTGGGAGTGCCGTAAAATGCACACGAAATGTCACACTCTTGTGGGTCTTTTCAGTTTGGGTTGTGTTTCACCTTGTCTTAAATCTCCTGCCTCGTTAACTCTAAGCCATTTATTTGGCAAGTAAGTGAATAAAGGCCTGGCTGCTGGTATGTTTGTACTTCAGTGTGTATTTAGAAACTTCAGATGACTTGAAACTTAAATATATCTGCCATATGTCATACAGGCCTCGAGCCACATTAATCCTGCAGAACCAAAATTAGGTTCTAGAACAAAAATCGTATTTTAATACTGCCTCTAGACACTGAGTCACACCTATGCCTCTGTAGAGGATATGGGGGGCTTTGCTTCACTTTGCCAAGTTCTACTTCCAGAAGTCATTATTGATAGCAATATAGATTAATATATTATTAGATGGGTTAGAAAATACTCAAAATTCTAAATTTACTCACTCAGTTCAACAACTGTGTTTATGAAGCATCTGCTGGTAAGCGTGTTTCCAGACACTGCCCTGCCCTCACACAGCTTACATCCTTGTGTGTTGAGCCAAATAGTTATCATGATGAACAAACTGTGATGCGTCGTAGGTGGGGACCGATTCTCTGAAAAACAGTGGAGCAAGTTAAAGGGGATCAGAAATGGTGAAAACAAGGGTCTCAAGTTTAAAAGTAGGGTTCAAAGCAGGCTTCCTTGAGGTGCCATTTCAGCAGAGACCCAAAGCAGGTAAAGGAGTAAGTACAGGCTGTCCGGGTCAAGAGCATTCTAGGTTGTTCTAAACTGTGACTGAAATCTGACCTTGAGCTCTGTTTATTATATAGGCCCTACTAAATGAATATTGCAAATTAGCTACAAATACAAGGGATACTTTTCTTTCCAAGTACGTATAATTATCTTAGCACATGAGTTCTGATAACTGCCACCAAAAGGCAGCTGTTGAAATTATATGTAAGAAAACGTAGTTGTTGAAGGAAAGCACAGAACAGAGAAGAACTTGTTTAGGGAGGATTTTCTTAAAGAAACAAACTCCTGTAATCACCACCTGCTTTATCTGATGAGCTTCTCGATCCTAAACCACTAGCACCCTGTTATGCAGTGATTTTCTTTTCTTTCCTTTGTTGCCAGTTGAATCGAAGTGACAGTGACAGCTCAACCCTGGCTAAAAAATCCCTGTTTGTGAGAAACTCCACCGAACGTCGCAGCTTGAGGGTCAAAAGGGTACGTATTCCTTCCACAACCTCTCAGGGTCTCCAACCCAGAGCCACCGATCATGGGGCACCAATACCAGAAGTCCTGAGCGTGATCACTGCGCGCTCTGGGGCCACTGAGCGAGGCTGTGCTTCCCGGGAGACACAGGTGTCGTGCTGGTTCTGGAGCTGGAGAGAGCGTGTGCTGCGGAGCAGCCGCTCAGCGTGGGTCTGGATCCCGCGATAGCGAGGCCAGGACGCTGTCTCTGCAGTGTCGCTGGAGAGGGGCTCGCCGAGTGCGCTGGTGCGGTGCCTGCGAGGTCCCCACACCGCCTCTGGCTCTGGAGCAATTGTGGGACTAGCGTAACACCCGGTACCTTTTCGGAAGCGCCAATGTTCTGGGACAGGAGTGCACAGTTTCCGTAACTAACAACAGGTGTTCTTCGAAGGTTAAGCTGAGCGTAGGTGGGAGAGCCCCAGCCCACCCGGCGCCCGGGCTGTGGCCAAGCCTGAAAGGGTGAGTCAGAGAGAGCATCTTAAACACATGAATAGGCTGGACTGTTCACGCACTGCAACAATTCCTGCTTACTCACAGCTGAAATACTGGCGGAACGTTATCTGCCTGCTCATAGTTTATTTAGTAATAATTTATGAAGCCCTTGTATTTGAGTTCAGACGTGGGGCTTAAGTGAGGACGGAGCGCCATGTGTGTTGAGCGAGGCAGGCCCTGACACCGGGCTCTCCAGCCTTCGGGACGCGTTCAGGAGGAACACGGGACCGGGAAGGTGCCAGGGGAAGCCAGAAGGGACTGTGCTCGTCTGCTTGGGGGAAGCTAAAGACTTGATGGGGGTGGTCTGCGGCCTTCACCCCTGGACACTGTGCCAGCACAGTGACATCGTGACAACAGCATGAGAACAGTGATGGCAGGAGTATTTACACCACAGAAATCAGCAAACTCTTACAAACCCATGCTTTTTCCTTTTTTTGAGAGAGAGAGAGTGCATGTGCGCCTGCACAAGCATGAACAGAGGAACCCAAGCAGGCTTCGTGCTGCCAGCCTGGAGCCCGATGTGGGACTCAATCCCATGACCCTGGGATCATGACCTGAGCCAAAATCCAGAGTTGGATGCTCACCCGACTGAGCCACCCAGACGTCCCAAACCTGTGCTTTTTTTCTCCACCTGTGGCCCCACCCAGAGCCGCTTGTTAAACATCAGCCAGCACAGCACTGCACGTGCACGCATAACCACTAAGAAGGATTTCTTTTTCTGAGAAACAAGTAATACAGTCAAAGTGAGTGTGTGTCTAGGTGATCCTGCTGTGTAATAAGTTTGTTAGAGCAGAGGTTGAATACAGGGACCCTAAGAAGAGTATTATGGAATGTTCAAGAATGTCACAGCAGTATGTGTTGGACCAGGAGGAGAGGGCACGAGCTCTCCAGCCCTGGGCGAGGGCCCTGATTCCGGAAGCACGACAGCCGGCCTCCCTCTGCCCTCTGTCACCAGCATGACTCTTGTCCAGACCTCCAAGCCTGAGTACTTCTCAAATTTGAGTCCTGCCTCTCTCGTATCAAATAGTACCAGTTTTTACTCTTATTTTCCATTCCCGCTGCCAATGGTCTGGGCAAAAAAATACCCTCCTTGTTCCTCTCTGCTTATGCAACCTTCCCAGCCTCTTCTGACTTCCTTCCCTCAAGCAAGCGTGACCAGCCCTGAGTGCTCTCTCCCTTCCCTGACTTCCTGGGGCACAAAAGACGCTACTCCGCCTCTCACTACTGATTGCCTTCAAGGTTGAGGACGGGGTCTTTTCTCCCTGGTGTGTGGCCTACAGCCAGCTCCCCACCCCCATTTATTCATATATATTCAATGATTATTTCTTGATAAATGGATAAGATTGGCCCCAGGAAGAGCACCATTGATTCCCTGGTGGAAGTGGCTATTAGATGATGGGAAGTCGAGGAAGGAGTTGGGATCTGAGCATACCGATGAGAGGAGGGGCTCAGACCCTCGGCCGCACCGACCAGCTGCATTCTGGCTGGCGCTTCCAGAAGTGACGCCAAAGGAGTGAGCAGTGGGGGTGCGGCTGTGTTGGGTCCTGAAATGGGGGGAGCAGGAGTTTCCTGGATTTGCTTTGCACAGAGGGCAGGCTTTGCGTGGTAAATACGGCAACAGCCTTACAAGATCTTCGTGGCTTAAACCAATAAAGGTTTATTTCCTCCTTAGCGGCTTGTTCATTGCGGGCTGGCTAAAGGCTCTGCCCATGTTGTCTTCACTCAGGACCCAAGCTGACGCCGCCGCCACCTCTGAATCTTTGCCGTCCACTAGCAGGGGACAGAAACGTGCACACATCACCCTGGCCCTGACAGGCCGCTGCCCGCGGGGCACATCCCGCCACCACCTGTCCTTGGCCGCCTGCACCTCCCTTCCTGGGAGCACGGAAACGTGCGGGGGGCCGGAGGGGGACACCGAGTAGGTAACGACTACCAGGATGACAGGGGTGTTTCGCTCTTTGGTTTCCTGACTCTGCAGACGGTGTGCCAGCCCGTCCTGAGAAGAGCGGCGCAGGAGCGGCCGGCGCGCACGTCGCTGGACCTGGAGCTGGACCTGCAGGCGTCCCTGACCCGGCAGAGCCGCCTCAACGACGAGCTGCAGGCGCTGAGGGGCCTGCGGCAGAAGCTGGAGGAGCTGAAGGCTCAGGGGGAGACCGACCTTCCGCCGGGCGTGCTGGAGGATGAGCGCTTCCAGAAGCTCCTGAAGCAAGCCGAGAAGCAGGTGGGGTCCCGGTCCCGCCGGCCCGAGGGGCGGGAAGCGCGGGCCCTAAAGCCCGCCTGCCCCAGGGCCCCAGCTCGCCCCTCCCTGTGACAGAGTCTGCGGGTCCCTTTCCTGGAACTTGAAACTCTTTTTTCCCATTGTCGTAGGGTTTTTTTTTAAACCTGGGATATTGCTAAGAGAGTGACACTGTCCCCCCGCGCCCCCCCCCATACAGGCAGCAGGTCCCCACCACTCCCCCCACCCCACAGCCACCTGCCGGCCAGGAGCTCCGCAGCGAGGGGAGGAGGGGAGGGCACTTTCTCCTCGGTTTTCTCCGTCTCAACACAGGGCGGGGGATAAACACAGCAGAACTTTTCACATCAGTGACAGATTTCATTTGAGTCTTCTGAATAGCTCTTTAGGACCCATTAACCACCTCAACTGTAAATGCCTGGTTAATTTGCAGGCTTCAGCATTTTCACAGTCTTTGTTTCCCTCAAAAAAAATCAGACTTCCCCTACTGGCATTCTCCCTTGCCTCTCACCACACAGGTAACCATACAAAGTAAGGTGGGTCACCAATGAAAAACTAGGGCATTGTTAAGGGAACATCTCTATTGTCCTGCCACCTACCTGCAACCAAAATTGTTTGGAGCCTGGTTTGTTGGCTTATTCTCTAAGGTTTATTTGGACACAGAAATTTTGTGGGGTGTTTTTTTAAATTCTTTTTAATGTTTTATTTATTTCTGAGAGAGAGACAGCATGAGCAGGGGAGGGTCAGAGAGAGAGGGAGATACAGAGTCTGAAACAGGCTCCAGGCTCTGAGCTGTCTGTCAGCACAGAGCCCGACACGGGGCTCGAACCCATGAACCGTGAGATCATGACCTGAGCCGAAGTCGGACGTCCAACCAACTGAGCCACCCAGGCACCCCGGTTTATTTGGACAACAGGACAGTGTGTCTACAGCCATATGCCATATACAAATACAACTTCCCACATAGCTGAAATATTGCAAATGCCAAAACATTATTCTCTTTCAATTGTTTTGGATGGAAATCTGAAATAGATTAGAAACTTTCTTAAGCTAATAGAAAATCTTGTCCATAATACACACTTCCCTTTTTTGGCCCAGAGTTGTTGTTTGGTCACGAGCATGTGATACTATGGGGAAACTGAGTCATTTAATCGACTAGCACTACTAATCCTGGATGTAACTCAGAAACGTAATGAATTTTAGGGATCAAACTGATCCCAATATCTTTAAAGAAAGTTTTGGCAACAAAACATAACACATATCTGTATTATGTCCCACCCGATAGACCAAAACCTTGGCATACAAGAGAATATCAGTAAGTATCCGTTCAGTAGGGAGTTGACTTGTAGGACTTATGTTTGGTACTTTGGAGACTACGGGGCTGACTAGACACTGTCGTGCCCTCCAAGAGCTTACGGAGTAGAGGAGATGAGCCAGATACACCAGGTCCTCAAGAGAAATCACTTTATGGTGAGATCAGGAGAGGTCTCATGGCGGAAGTAGCAAAGTGGCCTTGAAGGTGAGTAGTGGGACTTCACTCACAGTGGGTGCCGAGGCCAGCAGGCGCGGGAACCTGCAGTAGGCAGCTCACGAGCCCGCACGAGAGCAGCACTGCAGCCTGGCCGTCTCTTTGCATGCTGGAAAATCGCGTTGAAAGCTGAAATCCCCAGCTCTTAAGTTTGTCACCTTAATGATGACCATTGCTTTTATTCTCTTGAGTCTTTCAGTTCACCATTAGCAATCATTTCAAAGTCTTGGTTAACGTTGACCAACTTTAATAGCGTAGAGAAGCGTCACAGACTTTAGACTCCTAGGGGTCAAAGGCTCTTAAAGCTGGATTAGAGTTTTACGACTACAGATTTAAACAGAACTTTGCACCTTTTGGTCGGTTGTTGTTTGTTTTTTATTTGTCACTGTATGAAATTCTAGATCCTTGGGTATCAATAATTATAAAGACTTTGGGACTTTTTTTTTTAATATTTTTATTTCTAGGAGAGAGAGAGAGAGAGACAGCACGAGCAGGGGAGGGTCAGAGAGAGAGGGAGACACAGACTCCAAAACAGGCTCCAGGCTCTGAGCTGGCAGTCAGCACAGAGCCCGATGCGGGGCTCGAACCCACGAACCACGAGATCATGACCTAAGCGAAAGTCGGACGCTCAACCGACTAAGCCACCCAGGCGCCCCAACTTTGGGACTTTTTATACTTCATATCATATTGCTAAAGTCGTGCATGAATTGCTTGCTATTTTAGTTTGTTTTGACTGCTTTCTGATCTCCAGTATGTAGAGAAAAGCTCAATACAGCAAGTAGTTGGTTATTTGAAAAAAACTAAAATAAAGAAACAAAAATAGACAAAGCTCTGGCAAGATCAATAAAGAGGAGATACACATAAAGAAAACTATAAAAGGAAGGAGGGATAGAATTACAGATAAATTTGAGATATAAAAAGATAAATTGAATAATACCAAAGATAAAGGCCCACAATTTGGACAAATATCAAGGAAAACGTAACTTATGAAAAAGTGATGAAAAGGGGAGGAAAGATTGAAAGTCCTATCCCTCTTAAAGAAATGAAAGCAGTGATTAAAAATCTATCCACAATGAAAACATCGGTCTAGATGTTCTGTAGACAAGTTCCACCAAACTTCCAAAGAACAGATTATCTCAATTTTATGTAAACTCTTCCAGACGCTAGAAAAAGAAAGAACGCTCTACAACTCATGCTATGTGACCAACATCCCCAATACCAAAACCAGACAAAGATATTGTCAAAAAGGAAAATCATATGCCAATTTCACCCATAAGTATAGATGCAGAAATCCTAAATACAATATTAGTAAATATAATCCAACAATATATTTAAAAGGTATTCAGTTTGGGGGCAGCTGGGTGGTCCATTTGGTTAGGCATCAGACGTTGGTTCAGATCATGATCTCGTGGTTCATGGGTTCGAGCCGTGCATCGGGCTGTGTGCTGACAGCTCAAAGCCTGGAGCCTGCTTCGGATTCTGGGCCTCCCTCTCTCTCTGCCTCTCCCCAGCTTCTGCTCTTTCTTTCCCTCTCATAAATAAATAAAAATGTTAGAAAAAAACTTTTTTTAAAAAGAAACTACATTTTGACCATGCTGAATTGTGCAAGGATTTTTTAACATTTGAAAAATCTGTTAGTACAATGAATCCCCTCAATAGATAAAGGAGAAAAACCATTGGATCAACTCAGTAGATCAAGGAAATATATTGACATCGTCAGTACTCATTCATGTTTAAAACTCCTGGCAAGTTAGGAAGACAGGACTTCTTTAACTCCATAGAGAGTAACCAAAAGGAAATAAGGTCCTAAACAGACAGACATTGGAACCATTCCTGTTAAAGTCAGACGCAGGCATTCAACACTCTTCTGCTCAACATTGGATTGGAAATTCTAACCAACGTAAGACAAGAAAAAAGTAGAAGCAGAAAGACTGAAAAGGAGGCGATAAAGCTGTCATCCTGGAAGACACAGCAGGATTGTGTACATTAAAGATTTGCAAGCTACTCCGAGGAAGAAGAGAGTTTAACAAGATGTGTAACTAGGAGAGTCTGTTGCATTGCTTACACTGACCAGAAACAACTAGAAGATTTAATTAAGATATTTTTTTACCACAGCATCAAAGAAGATCAAGTATCAAGGAACAAATTAAACAAAAATTTGCATTATATTATAGGGAGCACTAAATAGCCTTATGAGGAAAGTATAAGGAAAAAATCCTAAATTCATGGAGAAGTATTCCCCATTCATGTAGAACAGAGGTCCGCAAACTTTTCCTGTAAAGGGCCCGAGAGGAAATATTTCGGCCCGAGGGTCTGATCAGTACCTCTCACCTCTGCCATGCACCACAAAAGTCGCCACATACAAGATGTCCATAAATGGCCTCACTGAGTTCCAAGAAAACTTTACAAAAACAGATGCAGGCCAGAGTTTGACATCCCTGATCCAGAGGGGGAGTTATTACTGTGGATATAGTCAGTTCTCCCTAAAATGTTCCACAGATTCAAGGTCATTCCAAGCAGAATGCCTACATGCATCACATGGAAGTTGATAAAATTAATGGAAGAAAAATGTCAAAGAGTGGCCTTGAATGCTGTGATGGGGAGCCACCAAAGGCTTCTCTAGAGGAGGTTTCTTTGGGAAGCCTGTGGTAGAGATGTGTGTGCGACATGGGCTAGCGTGGGAGGCCATTTTCCACAAAATAGGAGAGGAGCTTGGGTGACATCTGAGCCATCTAATCCTGATGGGAAGAGACAGGAAGCAGCATCCTTCCAGGGATAAAAGTATCGTAAATGCACTGTTTCTAAGTGAGCTTTTTAAATCTTTCATCATATAGAATTCTAGACTTTTACTGGTGTTAATAGAGGACTCGAGGTTTGCAGGTTTTAGGGTGACTCTTGCTTTCCTTCCTCATTAAAGAAATCCTTAGCACAAGTAGATGGAAACTGTGAGGGCTGTAGAAGCCAGCAACTGCGGACATCTTCAGGGCCAACCTAGGCGTATTGCTGAGCCTCTAAAAACCTGAACTCAAGTAACAGTTGACATTTGGTGCACATGTGTTCATTTTAATGATCTGGCCTTTAATGAGCCCGTGAAGAAAGTATGTCCGTTCTCAGCTGCAGAAAATCCCAGGAGGGGTTTCCTGGGGCACTGGGCAGAACCATTGCCTGCAAAAGAGAAACACCTCTTTGACACAAGTCTTTTCTCTCCTGAGTGCCTCTGGCCTAGCGGGTAAGCTCCCGCGTAAACCCCCCAACACCAGGCCACCAGAGTGGATGTCCCATCTGACCTTGGCAAAAGTCTCCTCTGCCTCATTAAAGCCTGTTGGTCTTGCTTACCAGCCAAGATTTTATCCTGTTTAGAATTTTGCTTGTGCCTTAACTGCTGCTAGACGCACAATTGCCCCTGGACTTGCTGGTGGATGGGTAAATAGAGCATAGACAGAGAGATGAGAAACGGAAG